CAAACCAAAAAAAAAACAGCAAAAAGATTATAGAGAGAAGGTATTTGTGTATTTTCCCCTTCTATTTACATGTCACTATTACTTTAAAAAGAGGACATCACTAATACATTTTCAAGTGAAGAATTATGGAAAATCATAATCTACAAGATTCTAAGTTAATATTTGCATCAACCAGAGAACGATGATATATCAGTCAAAAAAACTTCTAGGAAAATCACAATCAATATAGTCAACCTAAACTTGAAAATAACTTAAAGTACTTGGTTATTACAAGCAATTAGGTAATTTTAATATCACAACTTTTTCTTACATCCTAATGGAAAAATAACAACCCTTGTGACATCAAAAAATGTAACTACTCTGTCTTTGAAATGGAATACTGAAGTTTATTTGATATATTTGGCCTAACTGGGGAAAAAGATCATTCATGCTCTTTCATTGAGATGAGTGTAAAATTACTAACATCGATGCAAAAATTTACTAGACCTCAAAGAAAGGGCCTACATGATGAAACTAACTAGCAAACTTAATAAAAAGAGAACTCACTTGGGTGCCCACTTCCTGCAAAAAGGAAGGTGTTTAACAATGACGAGAGCTTTGGCTATTCTTGCGTGTCTAAGTATACAGAGCAGCAGGGCATTTACAACATATGTGTGCTTCCTCCAAAGGATAATAGATTCATGGTGTCTTATGTTGAACCTAAAAATTCTGAGTGAGAGAGAGAAGCTTATTTAAGAACAATTTTTGGTAAAGGAAATCAGAATATAAGAAAAAAAACTAAATCTTATTTCCTTCTTTAAGAAACTAACAAAAATAAAGCAAAGCTGAAGTTACAGTCTATAATAAAGCCACACAGTACAATTTTAAGATATCCTGTATCATTCCTTGTTTGTTTTGTCTTTAAAATGTTTTTTCCCCAATGCCAACAAAGAGCAATGATCCTTGTAATAAGTGTGATTAAGAAATAGTTGTTTTTTAGAAGATGGTCAGCAGATTTTTGAGCAATAAAGTCAATACTTTTTTCTTTGGTAGACTTCTCTGGAGAAATGAATGCAAACATCCACTTCAGATTTAGAAATTCAATTTTACAAGGGAAAGTAAAATTAAAAGGATAAAAAGGGAGCTAGGAAGTACTCACCTCTTCACGTAATTTTATCAACTGCAACATGAATGCACAAAAAAAAGATAAAAAGGAAAGAAATGGCAGGAAAGAAAGATCAGTTGTGTGACAGGATACAGAATTAACATTGACAATTTATCTGTTTACATGTTTAGCATTTAAAAATCACAGACAAACACATTAAAAGAACCTAAACATAGACTACATGCAGAGTTTTTTGAACGAATAAAGATCACTTTCTCACACTGTCACATTAAACAAAGAGAATAGTGTGAAATTCTCTTTTAAAGTACATCTAAGACACCATCATGAAATAAAGGGGAACGACTTCATAGAAGTCTATATTATAAAGAAAGAAAACAAGTTTACTGTTCCTCTCTTCTAAGAATGTACCACTGAAGAGGTTTTGTATATACAAGTTTTCAGGATGTTTCTCTATTTGGAAACTTGACAACTGATTTCAGATTTTACCAACAAATGAAAATGATTAATAGTTCAGGTGTTGGTTGCAATAAGCATTTAAAGTAACAAGCTATTATGTGGGTATACAATTGCTTTAGGAGGTAACACTGTTCTACTTGAGAATAAAGTATGCCAGTGTAGATAATATCTATTTAGGACACAGTACCAGGAAACACTTCACTATTCCTAGAAATATTGTACACACTGGAGTTAATTTCTAGATTTTTATTTTGCTTGCTTTTTGTGACTACTGCAATCAGATGACATATTTTCATTTTAATTTTATGTTTCTTCACTTGTCAGTTGCCTTCATCTTGTAAATCCAGCCATCTCAAAGCAATGAGCTCTTTAATTCATCTGTATTGCAATGTATTTTCACTAAAGTAGCTTCAATAACCACTCCTTACTTATTTGTATGTATTTGTATCTCCTATAATATTTTAATTTTCCTTCATAAAACATTTTTCTATTTGCCTTAAATATAACACAAAACAAATTACTTAAGTCTTTAGAAACAAGGAAAATGATAGAGGCATATATTTGCTTCATCTTTTATATTTGACACTATTCTAAACCACAAACAATTTTGTAGTTGAGATGACTACCAGATTTCTGCAATGAACAGAAATTGAAACCTATGTTTTACAGACTCTAAGCCATATTTTAGGTCTGAAATTTGCATCCTCAGCAGTTCAGCTCTACAACTGATAAGTTTTAAACATCCAAATATCTGTAACATCTGTTTTAGCACTTGACATATGCAAGCCAATAAATTAAGCCATTGCTTTGGGAGAAACGTGTTATGAATTGCTCACTATACATCTTTCTAAGAGTATCATGTTTACTGACATAGCGAGGAATTCTCAATGCTTAATGCTATTTTTGTCTCAAATTCAAGGCAGGCAGTATGCATTCCAGCTTATTCTATAATTTCAATTGTTATATGAAAAGTATCTTAAGTACAAAAGAATGAGACTTCAAAATGTTATGAACCCTTTATGAAAAGAATATAGAGTTTATTATGCAACATCTTACTATGTGTGTAACAAAAATGAAACTTTTAATATTAAAGTTTCAAAATAGACAAGAAATTGTCATTATTTTTCCTCCACAACCATGCAGGATGTATGAGCAAAATATCTCATTCTTTCACATGGGATGTCTCAAGTCCTCCTCTAGAAGAAATAAAATTTTAAACCAAAATACCTGGCCTATCACATATCGGAATCTTTCTCTTTGCTACTGGAACATCATGGGAGAAAAAGGCAAACATTAATTCTCAGGAAGAGACGATGTGGGAATTGATCGCACAGCTCTTTTCTTCTGGGGGCACCATTCTTCAGTGGACTATGATACTTAAAGGGGCAAAGTTTAAAACTACTCCTCAGCAATGGAGACCATTTGGGCATGCCACCCTGCCATAATCAATGAGTGTTTAAAAATGCTACCCATTTGTTTTTTCAATAGGTTCCAAACAAAAAACGTTCTATCTTGTTTGTGCTGCATGGCTGCATTCAAGCGCCACACCGGATTTGTAGCTAAGCGAGGTAATGGGAGGGTTTTAATCTTTATCTTTTTTTTTTTCTTTTTCAGTTAGGCCAAGAATTATTCATTCGAGTAAACAAAAGATAGTCCATTTTGAAAATTAGCAATGCTTAGAATAGACTGTAAGTAATGATTTCTATTTTATCGAGTTATTAGCTCCATCCTAGGCGACATGAAAGTGTGTGCAATGCCTCAATGTTGAGTTAAGATAATCAACATCTTTTTTGAAACAAAGATTTTTTTTTACCCCTAATGTAGAATTTGATACAAGAGGTAATCTGTTCCTTTGTGGGCTGAAAAAATCTGGTTTACGCTGGTTTGAACCAGCGGAATCTCTTGTGGTTAAGCCTTCTGCTGTGACTGAAATCAAAACCGCACTGCAGAGCGTGTGAGGGCCTGCGCGCGCCTCTGTGTGTGCGCTGCGTCATGTGACCCCCACAACTACCGAATTTTTTTTTTTTTTTTGAGCTGATAACGGGACTGCCGTCTCTGTCCGCATACAGATAACGAATAAATGCTGAACTCTATTAAACGCCCTTTACACATTATCGTGGGTCGAACACACAATTTTCTGAACTTATGATGACAGTCTATTTATTTTGCTATAAACCCTCAGCACGTAACGAACAGATTTGTGCCTGGTAATGATCTGCTCTGCCAGGGCTGTATGAAATGATACCGACCTTCTTTAGATCTTGGGGAATTAAATTGACCGACTTCACCCCCTGGTCTGTAGCTGAAGTTTGACACACTTTATGCACAGCAAGCCCAAATCAGAACTTAAGAAAATCTCGTATTTAAAAATTAAGCAATTATTATCTGCTAAATATTGCCTTAGCACAAAAATTTCCACACGTTTGGAACTATCCTACTATTTGTACATTTTTTGAGTCTTATGCATAGGATTTACTCAGTCATGGATCAGTATAATTTTGCATATGATAGCTGTGAAGCTAATGGGGCTCAAATCTAGAGCTTGGGACATTTTATTTGTTCCATTATTCTACTCCACTATAAAAAGTTTTATGATCTTTATTCTACAAGTTGGTTTTTTCCTGTTTTGAAAATGGTTTCCATGGGAGGAAAACAATTTAAGAATGTTAAGGTTTCCATTCCCCAAACAGCATCATTACATTGAAGAACTCAACTCTCTCAAAGATGTGGAACGTTGCCATATTGAGTGGTAAATAACTTTAAAAGAACAGATTGGTTATGCTTAAGACAACAGTCTTTATAAAGCTGATAACAAAACAGCGCTCAAAGGTGCAAGGTAGATAATTTTGTCCCTTTCTTGTAAATCAAGAATGAGCTGTTATTTGATTGAATGAAATAGATATGAACCAGAAATGAACTTATACAAAGCAATTAATTTGTAATAAAATGAAATGTGTATTGTATGAGGGAATTAAGAAGCGTTTGAAAAATTCCAATTTTCTGAAATGCTGGCATTCCCAATCATCACAGACATATTAATATTCCTACTGGTGAATTAGGTAAATGTTTATATACCTAAGAGTACATTAATTTAAAGTTATTTGAAATATTATAATCACATGTATTAACAGGTTTTAAATACCTAAAAATTGCATCATAAACTGTCAGGATGAGAAACACTAGTTACTGTATTCATATTTGTCTAAATCTTCACAAAAAAAAACCACTGTAGGCTGGATATATATAATGCACTGAAAACAACTACTCAGTACTTTGTTTTACCTGCCTGTAATCACTGCTATTGATTCTTTTATTTTCATTTTCTGATCTATATATAATTTAATTGACAAATACATCCTAATTTCAATTAAATGAATACTGTTAATTTTATCTCATTTTGTTTTCTCTTAAGTTTTACTTATACGTTAAAAGTTCATCATAAATATATGAACAAGTAGTTTTGAAAATCAATTTATCAACAATTAACTTGAAATTAAGTTTATTTCTAGGGCAGGCCATTTTTATAGAAATTATAGATAATCCTACCTGAAAACACTCTATGTTCTTAGTTTCTGGCTACAAAATTTAATATGAAGAACTAAATTAAAATTTTTTCTTTCCTAAAAGAAAGATGTTTTGTTTGGATACTTAGTCTAAATGAATACCGATGCAGAATAAGAAGTTATTTTCAAGCAACCACATTTGGTTAAGGAGATATTTCAGTTTGAGAGATTCTAATTCCTATATTATGACAATTATATGACAAAGAGTCTCAAATAAAACTTAATCACTTCATCATCATAGGCATATTTTGCTATACTTAGTAACAAAATATCCATAAAGTAAAGCATATTTTTTTGAACTTTCAAAGATCAAATTTTTGACTGAAAAGTTCATGTAAGTAATAATCTAACAGTTACATATTCTCATGATTATAATTTATCATACTCTATTTATTGAAGTGACAGTTCCTTACAACTAAACTTCAGGTTATCCAATCACTTTCAGATTTTGTAAGTTTGATTTATACAAGTCCAGGGGAATTCTCTGCATAATCACTTTAAAGTGACAGAAATACAATTTGAAAAACTCAGAAAATATGGACTCAAATCTATTTTTATGGAATAGTTTTCTTTAGGCATAAAAATCATCTTTATATGTATGTAAGGCAAATATTTTAGGCACATAAAATGTCCATTAAGAGAAGTGAACATGCTTTAAAAAAAAGATTCCTGTCATGGAACTACAACATCCATTACAATAAAGGAGTCTGAGTTAGACAGGAACACCCCCTTCTTTTCTGTTTCCTCTACATTAGGCAGTAGTTTCAAATGAGAAAAAGATCTATAGCTTTTTAAAGAACTGACATGGGAACTACGCATTTCACTTTTTTGCAAAATCGATTATGCTTTTTTACAGCAGATAGGAAAGAAAATTATGATTCATTCATTCATGAGGTATGAGCAATCCAAATCTCACTTTTATAAAAGGAGAAAATATTTTCTCTCTCATCTTCACATTATTTAATCTACTATGAGTAAAACCCCTTCATCACATCATCCTTTTATGTCTGATGCACTATTTTTTTCTTTAGCTATTCTCACATTTCAGTCAGAAAAGCTGAAATCCCAAGTCAAAACTGAACGTGTTTACATGTCTGAACTCAAGCTGATAACATCCAAATAGTGGAGCAAGTGAGAACTTCATCAAAACCAACAATCAGCTCAGTGATTCTTCTCCCCTTTTTGAGGGGTGGGTGGAGACCGTAACGTTCAAGCAATATCCGTGTTTATAAAACTAACATTACAGAAGATAATAATACAATCTCGGCAATTACAATCTATTTGAAATGGTTAACACAATTATGCAGATTTTATATGAATCAAGCGCTATGTTTCACTATGTTATTAAGTGTTGGTTTACCCAAGGAATGACTTATGTTCAATGCTATTTCAGCAGAGCAGACACCTTTACAATACTTGCCAAAGTAACATTAATGAACACATTCAGGTCTTGCTTGTGAAGTTCCCTGTCACCAATCCGTCTCTAGGGGTGTTTGAGACATTTTAAAAATCATCTCTACACTGAAGTGCTTGAAACATTCCTTTAAAGTCATATATATTATCAATACGAATTTATGAAGTCTGCAGTATTAATTCAAAATAAAAGAAGTAGGACATTAATTAGACTCATGGCACTACTATGTGATCCAATAAGAACTGACAGCCAAGTTGTAAGGCGCTTTTAAGAAAAAATTGCATCTTATTTTTTGCCTATGCATATCTTAAACTGCAAAAAAGACTTATCCTATTATTATTATTACTATTATTTGACAGAAACAGGTCTCTATCTGGGTATCCAAGTTTCACACTGGTGCCTATAATTTGCATTTTGGTGAATGTATTTTTAAGAAGCTACACAATAGGAGACTGAGCTGCGCTGTTGAATTTTGAAAGCTTACTTTCATTTGTTTTGCTGCAAGTGTTGATTTAATTATACTGCATTATTATCAAAGCTGTATTATGTACTTTTTTATTCCTTCTACATGTGTTTGAGGTGAAGACCTTGGCTTTGTCTGCAAACAGTGTGTTTCAAGTTATTCCTTAAGTACTAAATAATAAAGAAAAGAGAAGAAAAGATTTTTTTAAAAGATAGCAGACAGTGATCACAAGGTAAAGGGTTAAATGTAAGATCTCCAAGAAACATTTTGAAGTTGATTAAGACTCCAGCTTTGCATTAAACAGTATCGCTTCCACATGAGTTGCTGCTAATACTGTTAAGGAGCAGCTTGAGAGCCCAGTGTGCCTGTGACCTCCTTCACCCTCCAGCCACCCACCGGGCCTTCCTGATTAGCATTCTACCTGGTTCTCTGAGGAATTCCCATCATCCCCTAGGAGCTCATTCCGTACTTCGTCACTGTAGGCGATCCGTGACCTTTTCTATAAAACAAAACAAAAAGGGAAAGAGTGAGATGAACGTTAGAAAGTAAAGGCTTCGAAGCATTACTGGTATCAAGGCTTATCATCTCAAACCTCGAGAGCCCCCTAATGGAAACCTATTGGCAAAATCTGCAAACCAAAGTTGTGTGAAGTTCCCTGAACTTGAGAAGTTTAGTAAAAATTTGAAATTTTCCAAAATGTCAATAATGAAAAAACTGCATTGTGCAAATATTTTATGAATATTCATAAAGGGATCTGAACATGTCCATTACTCCACATGTCATCATTTGAATAAGAACATTAAACTGAAAGAAATACAGCTAAATAGCTGTATATCTATGGAACAGAGATTAAAATTAATACAGATGCATAGAGGGCCTTTAACATTGTAGCAGGAAATGAACTGTACAACTTAGGGTTTTTAAAATCTCTAATTCTAGGATAATAATTTTATCTCCAACTCTACTCTAGAATGCCTGGACTAACACACACCTATATTTCTTTCATTATTGTGATGTTTCTAACCAGAAAGAGAGGGGATTTAAAAGCCCATCTCCCATGCAAATGATAATTTAAATATATCTGACTTCTCTATAAATAATAGCTTAAGGAAAAGCAATAGAAGAGTATGTGCGTACGTGTGTATGTGCATGTGTGGTAAAGCAAATTAAGTTTCCCAATCCCAATAAATAAAGGAAAGCAGGCTATGAGTCAACCTTTCCCAATCCCAGTAAATAAAGAGAAGTGGAATATGAGTCAATATTTCATGCACTGTAATTTTGTTTTATAAGAAATCTACCCTTGCCTATAAAGTCAGAGGGACATGTCTGCAGTTCAAGCAATTCACAAGTTATCTAAATGTGCACACACTTGGGAAAGCTAGGAGGCTTTGAAAATTAGTTGTGAAACTAGAGTGTAGTCCTCAGTTCCTACTTCATCTTTAATATTTCCAACCCAAACTTCAGATTTACAAGCGAATGCTTTCTGGCCTTTTCTGTATCTGAACTAATTAAGCACAAAAAATCATTTAAAAGTGATGAGGAAGGGGATCAGCAGGAGGGGCAGAAAGGGAGAGGGAGTAATAGGTAACAGATGATATGCTAAGTGCAGGTACCAACTTCCCCAAATACCACTCCCATCAATATGTTTATTGTATAAAAAAAAAAAGGCAGGTAGGAAAGAATAATTTTGTCTCTCAATTAGGGTCTATGTTTGGGACTTGAAAGTTTTACCTCTTTAACTGTGATCTGAAAAGTGTCACCGTTTAAAAGGACTACCCTTAATCCATGAGCAGAAGTTAACGGTAAGGTTTTGGTTGAATTTGGAGACTAGTGAATGAGTTGCACTACCTGACCACACAGAAATCATAATATGTTAAACATAAAACCATATTATACTGGAATTGAAGAGGAACTCAGACAAGAACACCAATAAGCTTTACTTCACTTAAAAGAGATTGTCTTAACTGGGGTTCCTGACCAAACCAAAAACCAGAAAATTATCTCAATTCTCCCGAAGATGGCACAAAAGAGAATTTAGTTCATTACATACAATGAAGGCATAGGCTTATGGCTCTAGCACAACCCAGTTTAAAGAGACGTAAGTCAGATCAATAACAATATATACATATAGACAATCTCTTTTTTCATAAATGGAAAAAATCAATTTCATGGAATTCTAAAGATAGTTTTGGTTAAACTGAGACTAGAACTGTAGGGTCCTGACTCACAGTTGAGTGCTCATTCTACTTTAGAAAAACTCCTCCCTGTTCTATTATTTGCTAGATCATGGAGGAAAAAGGCACAAGAATTACAAAGTGTTTCCATATAAAGGAAATAGTGGAACCCCCTTTCAGTCCTGAGTCTGCATGCTATGTCCTACTTCCCTACTACAAGTATATATTTTATATCTTAGCAACTGCAATAAGTCTATAGGTAGATAAATGCAACTGCAGCAGGGTTGCAGGGAAAACAGCGAATTGGAGAAGTTAGGTAATCGGCCTGAGATTGGTAAAAACAATATGCATTTGTGAACACACCAGATGTTTTACCACCACACACAGCATATATTAAATCTACTTCTCTTATTGTGTTTCCTAAAGCAACTGTTAATTAACTACTTCTATTGATTGTATTAAAAATGTTAAATTACAGAAAGTCTGCTTCATGTTCTTAATACAATATTTAGATCAAGTCAAAGCTTTCTTTTGCCCATTTGGATATCCCCACTATAGTAGTTTCAAACTAGCTAAGCAAAAAGTATTTTACAGCATTAAAGGAAATGAGAACCTTTAAACAGGCTGTGGTATCAGAGCTGCCTTCTTAATTATTCATTTCATCACTATGGGGGACTAAAACATTCCACAGTGTGCAAGAATATCATATAGAGATTGTTTTTGTTTTTCCCTTTTTTCACCAAAATACCAACAAATTGGCAGAGATTGTTCAATTACAATATATTCTTATTTTGATGTAATATTTTGATGTAGTACTTCAAAATAAGAAAATTATAAATGTATATCCCTGAATATCTGATCTTTTTTGGTTAGAATGCTCTGCTTTTGAAAACTAGCAATTAAGTATATATAAGTGCTCGGCAATACAGCACTAAGGATTCATCTACAGTGAAGGGTGGTCCCTATAAATGTCATTTTTACCATTGGGATGGCAAAAAACTGGTCTTTTGGGAAGCTTTTCTGTATGTAATTAAGCAATTACTTATATTAATAAGTACCTGCATAATGCTTTCATTTAGAGGACTCAAAGTTAATAAAACTGAAACCTCTATTGTATCTTGATAAATCTAAAATATTTTTATTTCATTATCAACAATATAAAATCTGTACTTTAGCCAAATGCAAGCATGAGAATTTGAGTTGGAAATGTCACACATTCAGATACAGTTTGAAGGAACCCAATTCATAATGCATTTTATAAATAGTTAATGACTTCTATACATAAGCTAACCAGGCAAATCAAGAAATTGTCAACATTTTTGTCTTAGTTGTCAGTTACCACTGTCTACTGGTGCTTTGTATGTGGCTCCTGGAGAAGACAGAAGCTCTATGCAGTTTGTAATCTACTGCAATTTCTGGTCTATACCATAAGGGTGGAAAAGTGTCAACTGACAGTATTTGCCACACACACAAATTCACATATGCGCACGCACAAAGGTTGTTAAATACAAAAGCATGCTTCAGTTTTAGTTGTGTGCTTACATAAAGTGTATTCCTTCTAACTTCTATATACTTTGGTGGACTAGACATAGATGGCCGAACATCTACAGAACATATCTGAGCAAAAGTTTCACACTAACAACTGACTGCTAACCCTAAGAAGTTTAATATGCAAAACTTTAGTGGCTATTTTAAACTACTGGCAAAAATGAGTCCTTGGTTATAAAAGCGAGAATTATAGATTCAAGTAAATGTTCAGTTTTTCATTTGGTACGTGAATAGCATTTTTGCATACTGATTGGCTGATTTTCTTAAAGTCAAGTTCAACAGACACACTTATTCAGTTCTGTCTAGAAATCTGTCTTGAAATAATCTACTTGACCCAAACCTTAACATTTCCCACTGAGCTAAATAGGTTTGTGGACGGGCACCAATAAATTAGAAACAAAATGGATTAATTTATTTTAAACTAATTAAAAACTGTGATCTGTGGTGCTGCACCTTGTATGATTCTATATATGGAACTGGGTAAACATAGCCAGAATGAGGATTCTACAACCTACCATACACAAAAACATAACAATGAAGTTGGTTTATTACTAAACCATATATAAGAATTTAATTTCCATGGTGTGCACATGGCAAAGCAATTGCTTAAATTGCCTCACCTGGGAATTTAATACAATGTTATCATCAGACCAGCCACATTGTAAATAGATTTATAATGCTTTCCATGTGCTGTACTCTGTTGCATATGAATTAAGTAATGATCTGGTATTACAATAAAATCAGCTAGTTCCCACACCTGGCAGACAGGATATTTCACTAAATTAATACCCATACAGCCACATCACAAGGCATGGGAGAGGAAACCAACTCAAAAGCATTCAACTTGAGTTGACATGGGAAGCAAATACTCTCTGGCTATGTACAATGTCACTACATTGCTCAAAACAATCTGTTTCTAACATCTGTATCACAGAATTAGGACTTTCTCATTCCCATTCAATTTTGGCCTAATTTCCTTCATTCAGTACTTTAATTACTAATCAGCAATCCACAACATTCACAAACACTAAAAAAGCCCTTTATTCTAATCTATGTGCTGCAGACAGCCAAATAATTGATATAAAGTGCAGTATGGTTTTGGTAAGTAATGAAAGAACAGCTTGTCCTTCTTCCTAATCAAATTGGTCTATAGAAGAAATGGTTAATAGATTGCTCCATAGTTCTAAAACAAATTACACAGTCTGGTCAGACTTTTCCATTGCTTCTACCATGTTTTTCAGTCTCCATATATTTTAATAATGCCCAAGGTTACCAGGTGATACATGTATTAAAAACTGCTATGCTTTCATAGCCAAAGAATTTAACTGCTCCAAAGAATTTAACTGCTCCTGTTACAATTAACACTTCGGGATATCTATAGAATACCATGAAATTATATTTATTAGCTAACCATATAATTGCTGGCATTTTTTACCTAATTTATCTGGTTCTAATTAAATAATATCATAGTACTGTAATGTCCATATGGCATTTTCAAAAAATGTATCTATCTTTGGCACAAAGTATCCCATTTTTATCTTCATTTCTATTTCTCTCTGGCCTATCTCAGCATTTAGCTGCACATCCCACACCAGGACCCAGTAAGAGTCACCAATGCAAGTTAAGAAACGTAAAATTATACTCTGAAGGGGAAAAAATTAGAAAGAGCTTATGAATTTTTATCCCAGTGATGTCTATAGAATTTAAAGTTAAAATCTATCATACTGCATGATTGAGGTAAAGGTACAGTAAACTCTTAGGTAAATGATCACTTGAA